CAATGTAAATTTACAGAGCATTAATATTATAAATTAATTGATTTAAAAATATGTTTTTTAAGCTACACAGTTCAACCATGTTTCAAAAATAGAAGCTAAAAACCCGAATTTAATTTTGCAATTAAATTAAAAGCATTAGTTCCATTTCATCTTCAAGCGAATTTTGGAGTAACTTTTAAAAATTACCGGGTTTTAAAGACACAGCTAAAAATCACGTTTCCATGGTTACAGAATATTCTACTTAAATTGAACAAGGGATGTCTAGATTTTCCTTATGTCAGTATCATTGTATCAGTTATTAGCTACAATTTGGAAAGGGGTAGGGATGTATTTTACAATGAAACCTGACATCAGTTGAATGGATGTCGTCTGAATGTTTTTTTAAAAAATTGTTAACGGTAAAAAAATTTCAACGTCATTTTTTAAATTTAAAGATTTTCGGTTTTTTTTTTTTTTTTCTAATACTTTTTATTTAACTACGATTTGAAATATTCTCCTTTTTAATTTTTATTTTACTATATTCTTTTTAAGAACAGTTAAATGTATTAGAATCCATTATATTATGTAGGATTATTTTAACATCAAGTTTAAGTATGTATATGAGGTTACATTTTTTTTTTTTTTAAATTTATGACTATGACGGCAAAAATGGTTACTTAATTTCACTGATTTAGTAAACTTTTATTTTATATATAAACCTCGTATTATAATGTTTCTCATGTAAGTACTAAGGACATGGGTCATTCAAAAGCTTACATCTTATGGCATTTCATATTAATTTTATTTTACTATAGGTGTTTTTTTTTTTTTTTTATTTGGATTCTTTTTAGTGCATGTAGTATTATTTAAAAGAAATTTAGGTTAGAATTCATTCAATTTAGCTACAATTTTAGTTACAATTTCAGAATTACAACTTTAAAATATTTTCATTGTTTAGTTTTAATAGACTATATTACTTTATAACAGAAGGAAAATTACTCATAGTAAGTAAAATTATTTTTCCATATCAAAGTATATGTAAATTACAATTTTTTAAACTTTTATATTTAGATATTATTTAAGTAAAATTAATGGCACAGACTACAAAACTATCTAAGTCATTTCTCAGATTTAGTAAACTTTATGTATTAATTCAAGTTTAAGTATGTATATGAGGTTACATTTTTTTTTTTTTTTTTTTTATTAAATTTATGATGACTATGACGGCAAAAATGGTAACTTAATTTCACTGATTTAGTAAACTTTTACTTTATATATAAACCAAGTAACATAATGTTTTTCATGTAAATACAAAGGACATGGGTCATTCAAAAGCTTACATCTTATGGCATTTCATATTAATTTTATTTTACTATAGGTGTTTATTTTGGATTCTTTTTAGTGCGTGTAGTATTATTTAAAAGAAATTTAGGTTAGAATTCATTCAATTTAACTATAATTTTAATTTCAATTTTAAAATTACAAACTTTAAACTTTTAAAATATTTTCATTGTTAGTTTTAATAGACTATATTACTTTTTATAACAGAAGGAAAATTACTCATAGTAAGTAAAATTAATTTTCAATATCCAAGTATATGTAAATTACAATTTTTAAACTTTTATATTTAAATATTATTTAAGTAATATTAATGGAACTTACTACAAAACTAGCTAAGTCATTTCTCAGATTTAGTAATCTTTATTTATTAATTAATTTATTTATTTATTTTAAATATATGTAACCTAAGTAATAAAGTTTCATATGTATGTACAAAGAACAGGTTAAAATTCATTTTATTTAACTACAATTTTAAAATTACCACTTTAAAATTTTAAAATATTATCATTGTTAGTTTTAATAGAATATATTACTTTATAACAGAAGGATAATTACTCATAGTAAGTAAAATTATTTTTCCATATCAAAGTATATGTAAATTACAATTTTTAAACTATTATATTTAAATATTATTTAAGTAATATAAATGGCACAGACTACAAAACTATCTAAGTCATTTCTCAGATTTAGTAAACTTTATGTATTAATTAATTAATTTATTTATTTTAAATATATGTAACCTGAGTAATAAAGTTTCATATGTATGTACAAAGAACAATGGGTCATACATTACCTTACATCATCTAGCTTTTGTTATAATTTCATTTTTCAGTAGGTGTTTTATTGGATTCATTCAAGTGTTTGCAGTACATTTATTATAGAGGTGTTTCGGTTAGGATACATTTTATTTAACTACAATTTTTAAAAGATGCTTATGTTTGAATACGTTTTAACTACAATTTTAAATTTTAAATACAAGTTTAAAACATTTATCCTGCCATTCCAATAGAGTTTTTTTTTTTTTTTTTTTATATATTATTTAAGGAAAATGTTCGAGAATGATGGCATACAATAGCTATTTCATTTCTCTGATTCAGTAAATTTTTATTTTTTATAAACTTAGTAATATATAGTTTCTCTTGTATGCATAGAGGACACGGGTCGTTTAATGATCTACAAATTCTAGCTTTTCTTATTAACTTTCATTTTACTGTAGGTGTTTTATTTGATTCTTTTAGATGCCAGAAATATTTTGAGAGAGATGTTTGATTTTTTATATCTATTTATTCTAAATGAAGTTTGATGTTGGTTGAATCTTTTTTGAATTCATGGCTAGTGCAACCTATATATTTTTATGTTATCAGGACTTTCAATCGAAGAGATATTGCATTGGTATACTAATGATTCAGTGCGACATTTATTTTGTAGTGGGCAATTTTGAGGGTTTCTACAGTTACATAGTTTTTGTTTATTTCCATCAGTTTTTTCTTAATTTTTCCATTGTCTAAACTTTTTTGGTTTTGGTATAAGTGTTTATTTAAGATATTAGCATTATGGTTCTTAATGATTTTTTCTAAGTTTTTTGTACAGCTATAACTTAATTTTAGTGTGTTTTATTGAAAATAGTACTTAGTTTACTTTCACTAGGAAAATGCTTGACTATTAATGCGAGGAATTTATGTCCTAATCTGTTCTTTACCATTTGGTTATATGGGGAGTATACCAAATAATTTTTCTACATCTGTTTTTTCTATGCTTTCCATTTTCATTTTTTATATAAGCTAGTTTTGGGTTTTTGTAGCCACTATCTTTTAGAGCCTTATTATAGCAATTGATATGCTCATCAAAAATCTTGTTATTTGCTGAATTTGTACTAATTGTTTACTGATAGATAACGGTATATGTTTAATTATAGATGGGGGTGATTTGATTTAGGATGTATATATAAAGGATTGGTGTTGGGTTTTTTATAAGGTGTGTATGTATTTTTATTTAGATCTAAAGTTATATCTAGAAGTCTACTTTTTTTTTTTAATTTTGTACTAACCGTAATTTTTAAGCCCATGCTTTTAAATTCTTTATATAATAACTTTCTAATTCTATCTATTTTGAAGTTCTTTGAGTTTCTAATAACCATAAGCCCATCGTCTCTGTACAAACCAATATCATTTGTATTAATTTCATAGTGTGCTGTAATAATACATCCCTACCCCTTTCCAAATTGTAGCTAATAACTGATACAATGATACTGACATAAGGAAAATCTAGACATCCCTTGTTCAATTTAAGTAGAATATTCTGTAACCATGGAAACGTGATTTTAGCTGTGTCTTTAAAACCCGGTAATTTTTAAAAGTTACTCCAAAATTTGCTTGAAGATGAAATGGAACTAATGCTTTTAATTTAATTGCAAAATTAAATTCGGGGTTTTTAGCTTCTATTTTTGAAACATGGTTGGAACTGTGTAGCGAAAAAAACCATATTTTAAATCAATTATTTTATAATATATATATATATATATATATATATATATATATATATTTGTTTGAATAAAAGACAGACCACGTTAAGATTCCATGTAATAAGCTATTTCACCATAACCCCTTTAACAGGGTTCTGGATCATCAGACTTTACTTCCAAAAGCTTAAATTAAAAATGAAAAGAAATTCACACGTTTTTGACGGACCTCATCAAGTATATGTAAAATTAATGAAGTGAGGGAGTGAGGTGGGAGAGAGGATATGAGTATGTCATATGTATCATTTTAGTTTCCTATTTTAACCCCAGTGTGTCGGCTAGATGTTGCTCAAATTTAACGCGTCTCGTCTCTAGATATAGATGGCTAAGGGTTTTTCGTATGGGTAGACCTGAGATATATATATATATATATATGCACACATACACGCACACAAATGCTGTGTTGTTAGCTTGCCACTGAACAAATCTAAGTTGAAATCCAGAAAGTTTACAATCAATACAGCTGGACATTCTGAAAGATGAAAATCGCAAAAAATATCATTCAAGAAAAAAAAAAAGATCAAATAGAAAATATTCTTTAACAGTTACAGATTTAATAAGAAATTTATTTGAGAAACATATAAAATAAATTTACTTGAGGAAAATAACTCTGAAATCCACCACATGAAAATGTATAATGACAAGAATAGATTATAGATGATTTTCATAATCATAAATTATATTTTGACGTTCAAACCTTTACACCTAAATGTATAAACAACCTTGGCATTCATTTTCTTACCCTTCTTATTTAAAGTTTTTTTTCTATGAGAGATGTGATCTTGGGGTTTTCAATCTCACAGGATATTGGTTTTTTTAGGGTTGTGGTTTTTGGAATGTTAGCCTTTTAGGGTTCTGATTTATCAGAATTTCAACATTTCACTGTATTCCATTTGGGACTGTTTTTTAGGATTATGATCATCATCGAATTCCTACCACAAAACATTAGGATTATAAATGCTGATTTTTTCTAAGCCCTTACCAATAACAATTTTCCTTGCTTCATTTCTCAACTTGAGCTGAACTAAGTGAAGCAAATATGTGAAGACTCATTAAAATGCTCACTGGGTGCTCCAATACTGTAGTCCAATTTAAGATGAAGCTTAGGTTTGTTTCATATTAACAGTCAAAAAAAAAAAATCTTTTGATAAACCTTACTTACCTCTGATTCTGCCATAGGTTCTCCACACTGAAATGACAGTGAAAAATTAAACAATGAGAGAAAATGATTTAAAATAATTGATATTTCCCGGAAAGAGATATATTTAAATGAAGTAGTGGTTTTGGCTACTATAACCAAGTAGAATAGGGTAGCAGTAATTGACTGGTACGCGTCGTAATCGCAGGTAAGAAGTGTAGATCAATGGCGTAGTCCAATGGGCGTCGTTATAGACTTAGCTCTCAGACTAAGGCTCTTTGACTCTTGTACCTACATGTCCATTGATATTTATGATGGACACCAGCCAATCATATTCCAGGGAGGGGGAACACAGGTGTATGCATATTCCATTATATCAAAAATAAAAAAAAAACAAAATTACATTTATATTCAATATTTGAGTTGTATATACAGTTTAGCTGACTTTGCTATTTTCGTATTTTTATTTTTATTCACCACATTCTCAGTACAGTGACTCTCCTGTTGCAGTCTCATAAATTATCAGTAGCTGAATTTTATTTCAACTGACAATAGATATGGTAGCAATTTTGTTGCTTTTTATTGACAGATTTGTTTTTTGCAGGTTATTTAAAGCCAGAAAATATTTTTAGATTGTAAGAATTTTTTTTAGAGATAATAATGATAGGAAACTAATACCTAACACCAGGAAGATACAAGTGAGGTTTCTAGGGCATATAATGAGGAAGGAAGGCTTGGAAAATCTGATACTCACAGGACAGATAGAAAATAGGGACAGAGGAAAACAACACATAATGTACTTGATGAGCTTGAGTAAATAGATGGCAGAACAGGGCTTAGGATAAATAACAGAAAGACAAAGTTTATTAAGAGCTACAATGGACAAGAAGTTGTGGTGAGCCATGATCACCTATGTCCTGAAGGGACACGGCACATAAAAAAGATACAAGTCAAGCTAATTAACCCATAGCTGGGGGAAGAAGAGGTGCATTCATACCTTTCCCAAGGGTATTTGCACATAAGTGAATATAAGAAACCCAACTGGAATTGGAACCTGGATTTAAATTTTTAATTCCGCGCCATTATCCATTACACCATCCACACATTCAAGCTTACAGAACCTAGTATTCCCAAGGAGTCACCCATCTTGGTACCGATCAGGCTTGATGTTGCTTAACTTTGTTGATCGTGCAAGAACTAGTGCCTCAATGAAATATGGCTGTATGTGATGTTTGTATGTCTAGTAGACATTATGGTTGTTGTTTTTTCTGCATGTTGGGAATGTTTTTATGTACATGCTGTTTGTTTTAGATAAGTATACATTTCATTCTTTAAGAATGGATTCTCTGATGAAGCTTTAATAAAAGTGAAACATGTCGGATTGATAACTGTTTTCTCTTCCTTCTTTACGTTATATATAAATTCAGATATAAATAAAATATATCTGTAAAAAAGACAATATGAATAAAGACAAAAGGAAATTAATTATATTAATGTACAAATAAATACATAAACAATTTATCAAACTAGAAGAAAACAATAAAAATAAATATATAAATAAATAAGAAAATAAAAAATCAACATTTACTCACTTTTGTTTATTAGGCATTAAATTATATCACTTAGAATCCTCCATATTTGATTTGACAGTTAGCCTTGAGAATATTTTTGAGCATTCTTAAATTTTAAAATTTTGAAACAACAATATTTTTATTTCTGTTTATAAATACATGTTACAAAATACAATCCTTACATTTATCTTGATAATGTCCCTCTGTAGACAAAACATATCGGTAAAGAAAAGTTTCCCTTTTGTCTATATATATATATATATATATATAGTATTTGTCATTAGAATTTGAACAGACAGACATTTTGTTTCTAACTGCTTGGTTTTGAGGGTTAAAAACATGACACAAGAAGAGGCAAATTTTATTGCATTCAACATAACAAAGCCTGTAATTAATCATGTTTCGTGGCTCTGAATGCTAAATGCTTGACAAATATTTTTTTTGAAATAGAAGTGTTAAATGAAAACAAAATACGCAGTACCAAACAGAAAATGCTGGAAAAGTAAATGAAAAAACAAACTGTGTTTTTATTTATTTTCATTGATACTTTTACAAAACAACTATACAAAAATATGACCCAAGGTCAAATTTGGTATGTAAGAAAGGTGATGGATGTCTCCAATCTTAACTTAGTTATATTTACCAATCCAACTTTTCTTGACTATTCCTGTCACCATAATACCGTATTTACCCAAATATCACTTATTAAAAAATCTAGTTCCATTTTTACAATTTCATGAAGGGTGTGTGAATGAATGAGTAAAAAAAGATGACTTTTATGTACAGTTTTTAAAAAATATCATGAACTGAAGATGTAACATACTTAGACTCAGAAAGTGACTGTTGACATTTTTCGAGACAACTAATGAAGAAAGAGGGCTCAGAGAATTTGACATACACAAGACATTGAAGGCAAGAGGGACAAAAAAACCCAGCAAGTAACAATGTTATTGGTCCTGTCTTGGCATTTCAGCTTCAGTCACTTTCCCACCATTGTGATGCTACTTATGTCTTTTCTATAAATATTTTCAATGCAATCAGCTCTCCTCCTTGTTGCCTTGACTCCATGAATTTAAGTGTACTACTAGATTGACTTCCAGGCTTCACTGTTATGCTGTTGAACTAGTTAGATATAACTGTAAATTCTATTCTAATAGTTTCTTTTCTCACATTTCTTGTCTATGAAACTCTTTTCCAGTTTTTTGTTTCTTTGCCACCAATGATCTTCAAAGATTTAAATGCAATGTCAAATGCCATCTTCTCTTTTCCTGCAGGCTGCTAAAGTCTTCTTATTCTCTTCCACTCCCAGTAACTCCTTGCATCTTAGTAGCATTATTGCCTTGCTTAGAGTGAAATGATTTATATATCAAGAACAGTTTTGAAAGAAAACATACATGAAAAATTGGAAAAAGTTTTTGAAAAAACATCTTTTCTTTCAAATATATATATAAGTCTTTTATTAAAAGATCTGATCAAACTGCTATTATATTTTGGTTTAGTTAAATGTTAAATACTTTTTCTCAAAAGCTGGCATCAACTTAAATTTTTTTTTTATTACAATTATTAGTCTAAGGAGAACAATTTCAACAATTTAATTTTTTTTTCTGAAATTCTGCATTGGTGGATAGAGAAACATGCATAAAGACACATAATTACCAAGAGAAGAAAGCAGTAAGATAAATGCATTATATCTTGATGGTTGGATCTTTAACCATTAGCACTCTAAAGATGATTTATTCCCAAAGTAAAATGTTTGTCCTCCATTTGCTGAACAAATGTTATATTTGAATCCCATGGTTGTGTTATCATGTCCTGCTATAGCAACAGTGAAAATCACCTTGCTTGAAATTCAAAATGTGGCCACTGCAGTTGAGGAGGCAGAGTCAAATGAAATATATGTGAATAATGCAGTGTGTTAAAGATTAAAATACAACCAGAGTCGAATCAAATCAATAAGCAAATTTGAAAATAGAACAAGAGTAGGGGTAACCTCCTAAACTAAATTTCATTGGATAGATATTAACTGCAACTATTTAGCCAAAGGAACAGGAGAAACTGCACTTGTGGGCTTTGCTGAAGAAATGATCTTTATATAACCAGCCCATAAAAAATGTCCAAGTTAACACTTGTTTCATGAAATTAAATTAAAAAAAAATAAAAATGAAATAAATGCAATAAGAATCAGATTAAAAAAAAATATGGGTACCCAGTAAAAAAAAGTGGCAAATTTATTCTTTGAGAAGATACACCATTTGATCTAAATGTTAAGGATTACTGTATCTGGAGTAAACTCCTAACTCACTTGCAAAACTGTTGCTGTGATATCATCGATATTGATTCATTGAAGTGGAACTTAACTGAAGTTTGGAGTGAAATTCTTCTTGACACTATCTGCAAAGCTACTGCCTCCTGGTTAACACACTTACAACTTTGTATTGAATATTCAGGCAAACATTTTGGATACTCTTACGATGATTGTTCAGTTTGTGCATAAATCATGATAGCTAAATAAATTTCTTTGTGAATTTAATGCTTTTTTTTTTTTTACTGGAAACTTTGTATAATATCACTATATAACAGATAAAATAAAACTGTTCAGTTTTTATCAAAAGAGGTAAGTAATTACAATAAGTAATTAGTTTCTGTCTATATTTCTGAGATGACTTAAATTATTCGGACTACTGTTCATATTTTTACTGCTATATTCACGTTTCGGCCATTGTACACTGTGACCTTCTTCAGGTGATATATGTTGGAATTTTGAACCAGACCCTTTATTTAGTCCACAGGGGTAGATTGTCCTAATTCCAAGTGCCATACCTTTTTGTGGATATCTCAGTTTTAGTTAATTCACTTTAGTAACTCAACTCTCCAAGTTCTTGTTGCCTCTGCCAGTTATTCAACTTACAAGTCACTTTTTGGATATATATCACCTGAAGGAGGTTGGAGTGTATGATGGCCGAAATGGTGTGAATATGACAATAAAGATGAGGACAACAGTCTGAAAGATCTAAATAGTGTAAATAGTTGGTCGGTTGTTTTGTTTTATGGCATATTAACCTCACTGAGTCATTATGCCAACAAAAATTTTTGAAATAGATTCATAGCGATAGTTTGGTAAAAAAAGGTATGTATGTATACATATATATTTGAACCATTTTTCAATTATTCATATTTTTTAGTACAATCCAACTTCTTTTAGGAAATTTACAATATTTACATTATTCAGACTATTATCCTCATCTTTGAAGCCATATTTATTACAACATTTTGGCCATTGTACGCTCTGGCCTTCTTCAGGTGGTTGGAATGTCGAACAGTGAGCTAAATAAAGGGTTAAGTTTGACATTCCAACCACCTGAAGAAGGCCAGAGCGTATAACAGCCAAAACGTTGTAATAAATATGGCGACAAAGATGAGGACAATAGTCCGAATAATGTAAATAATGTACATAATACCACATCTCAGAAATATAGACAGATACTGAAATTTACAATCTTGGATGATTTTATTTTCGTAAAAAGTTTTTTAAATTACTCACTTGATAATATTTTGTTTGCACTAGATCAAAATCTACACACACTAACAGTATGTTTCACTGTAAGTTTTAATTATTGCTGATAATAATTTATCCTTCAAAATTATTGCTAGTAATAATTTTATTTTTTTTATTATAAAGTATTTCTGGTATTAAAACCTATTTTTACACAATTTTGGGTGTTAACTATTTGCCCATAGCTGGGACCCTAACAGGTGCTACCACCCTGAGTCAGGGTGTATCTGCGAACACCAGCAATTAAGAGATGGTTCCACGCTCCTCAAAACCTCCTGCTGTTGGACGTAGTTTATCGTCTTACCCAGGACATGGATGTAGTTTATCGTCATACCCAGGTAGTGTAAATAAGTAATTAGTTTTATAAAATAAATAAAAAAATTTTTTAACTCACTTTCTGAGGACGAATCAAGAACTCATCAACAAAACGGGAATATTTCAAGGAAGCATGAGTTTGACCATCAATGCACACAGGATCATTAGCCTGGAAAAGAAAGAGTGATTTTGATAGAAGGATTAACAGAAAACAAACATGGGATTATGAACCTATATCCTTTGGGCATCAAATTAAACTGACACATTCTTTTTCCATACATTGTGATCATTTCGCTTAAAGTTTAGTTTTATATCATTTCAGACAAAAACTTTGAAATTTTCCAACATAATTTCAATGAATTTTTCACTTTCTAAAATTAGTTTGACAGAAAAAGGTGCCAGTTTTAACTGATGGCAGGAGGACATGGCTTAAATTACATAAATTGTGACATTTTGCTGCATCTTGTCCTCAGTCAAATAATATTGAGAATATGGAAAGATATTCAATAGAAAATAATTTAAATATGATCAACTTGTTAAAAAATTAAGCATTAAAAATTCAATACTTTTCTTAATGCCAAGGCTTAATTTTTTGACTGTAAATTTTGATATTTTTAGTGTAAAAACAGACATAATTTTGTAAAAGAGTAAAACTTATGAACTTAGAGAAACATAATGTTTATCTCTGCCAGTAAGAATGGTCAGATTATGTATTCAACTATGTCTCAGCATATCAACCTCAGTGGGTTATTTAATGCCGACAAGATTTTTATTGCTGGTAATTCTGTTTTTGTTTTTTTTTTTTTCAAAAATATATAGCTGGTAATATTTTTTTTTCAAAAATGTATTGCTGGTAATAATTTTTTTACAAAGTATTTCTGATATTAAAACCTATTTTTATACTTTCATGGTGTTTGACCCCAATTTGGGGGTTAACTATTTGTCTATAGCTAGGACCCTAACAGGTGCTACCACCCCAGGCCAGCATGGATCTGGGAACACCAGCAATTAAGAGGTGGTTCCACGCTCCTCAAAACCTCCTGATCAGAGGTCTTGCTGTTGGACTGTTATAGTGGAACACACCTATTCTATAGTTAATAGACTCTCCCACCTATAATAAGTAGGTGTAGTAAGAGTAACGAGGGAGACGATCAGTCAGCCGATGCCGGATGACTGTGAGTCGAATACTAAAAGTATCAGCGACCACAACTAGAGTACTCTGCGTCATTACCTATTATATCAAGTTCCTAACGTTTTGTACATCGAACCTATTTTAGGACTGACAATACAAATACAAGCCTCCACTGTGAAATCACTCTACAACATGGACGTAGTTTATTGTCTTGCCCAGGACACACATATAGTTTATTGTCATACCATAAAGTACCTCCAAAAGTTCTCAATGAACTTCAATGATATTTTATGGAAGAGGGAGTCAGTGATAAAGATTAATTAAATTATAGGGTGGGTCTAGGAATTTTTAAAATTCTGCTATCAGTGCAATATTTATTTTACTATACATCTAATAAAAACTAAATAATCAAGAAAGATAACTAAGAAAGATGTGGCAGACTAATAGTTAACTGTTTGGAAAATGGAACTGGTAAATGGAATTCAAATTTTAACAGAGGCAGTTTGTATTTAGTATCTACTTTGCACTAATGTCCTTGGAAAATCATCTCATCTCAGTTATTGCTAAAATATAAAGGCAGACTAAGCTTGTTTGGTTGGCAATCAGTTTAGAATGACTTTCCTTGGTTCTGTCAGTTCAAACCTTCACAGTTGAGAATCCACCATGACAATCACATTGTAGCAAATCACCCTCATTCCCTCCATATTCCTTTGATGAGAAGCAACTTTTACTCAAGCAGATTCTTCCTATGAACCACTGCTCTGTGGAATTGACTCCCAAAAGGATGTTTTCTCAATCATTAAAATCTTAACATGTTCAAGTCCATGGTTAACCATTACCTTCCTCACATATCTGCATAAAATACTTCTTATTTTGTAACCCTCAGCCTAGCAGTAAATAAACTAATAAAAGATAAGACACAAAAATATTTGTTTTAATTCAAGAGCTAAACATTTTGGTTTCATAAAATATACTTTAAACCAGTGGTTCCCAAACTTTTTTCACTTGGCTGCTTTTTCAGAATTAAAATTTGCTTGCACTTCAAATTTTATGTGATAAAAAGTACATTTAAAAATAAAAAAATCAGAGAGAGAGGGTTACAGGAAGATAACCATGGATTTGAAGTCAGAACATTATCATTGATAACTCTCTCCTCCAATTTGCAGACCCTAGTTTCTATATTCTTAATACTTGATATAATGCAAAAATATCACAATGGTAAAACTGGTCAATAATTATTTACAACTATATTGTGACTCATGCATGCAATTACAAGTAATCCATAATATTTCAAATTCTGAAATAATATTTATTTTTGGCATATGAATTTTTAAAATTGTTTCAGAATCTTTGATTGTCTTTCAATCATTCCGCTTCACCTGCTATCCTCTTCCACTGCACCTGTTAAGCTGCATGGTTTAGAAACTGTTTTTTTTTTTTGTATCTTCAGGCGATATTCGTAAAACTTGTTTTGGTGGTGTGAGTCTAAGTCGTTCTTCAAAAATAAATTGTTCTTGGTTAGAAGTCGAAGTCGGGATGCGTGGATCTTCAGTCAGCTTCCTGTGAGACTGGTCTCAGAGCTCACAGCTCAACTCTGCATCTGCGTCTCTCCAACTCCAACTCCTTTCTGCTTTACTAACTTGCTGCGACTCTGCTTATATGGACGCTGACCAAAACCAGGTGTGGGATTGTCGTGGTTTGGGGTTCCTCGATAATTCTAAATCCACAATGAGGATTTTCTTTGTTTTCAGACAGGAAAATTTATCACTTTCTATTTTTGGAAATCCATTACTTTTTGCTTTAGAGGGGTTCTTAAGGGTATCATCCTCCCAAATTCTTCCTTTCTCATATTGGTATCTCACACCAATCCCCTCAGAGGCATCAACAGGCCTCCCTTCTCTCTCACATATGTTTACCATTATATTGCTCAAAGGAAAAAAAAAAATTATCTTTTTTTTCTTCTTTTCTTTTTTTCCCCCGACACCAGACCTCCCACGACTCGTAGTGTGGTCCCTAATCTCTATCTTAACTGAATGTCACCTGGAATTTGTCAACGAGATTTTCGTCAAATAATCAGCGGGGTTGTTCAAGTGAATCTCTTTGTCTCCTCAATGCCTATGTACTTCCGTCGCCACAATCTGTCCAGGCAACAAACTCTTATCATGGCTAAGTCTGAACATAAAACAGGTGTTTTTTCCCAAAACCAAATGATATCTCCGAAAGATAGTTAATGGTTTATTCTTCCCTTTTCCTTGGGTGGCCCAGCTGATGTTTTTCTCGGTCAGTACATAACCTGATTACAATTATCTCCCAGCTTCTGTTTCGCAGGCCACTTGACCAATTTGAAATTTTCATTATTGCCATCGGCAGATGGCTATCTTTTATTCGCCGCCTCGTAGCATAAATTAATTTGACAGATCCGAGATCTTACCAATTTCCTATCTTCTGCGAAAAAAATACTTTTCTTCGCAAACGAAAATAAAATCTTTACCACTTTTCTTTGTTAAAAAAAAAATAACATCGCTCAGTATGTCTTTTCGTGATAGCTTCTTATCGCCTTAATTATTTCAGCTTCTTCTCGCCTTAATTATTTCTCGCTTTTAATTTTCACGCAACCGCTAAATAGTGTCACAAGAGCTACAAGAGACAGAAAGATGTGGAGAGCCATGATCACCTACATCCTGAAAGAACACAGCACATAAAAGAAGAAAGACTCACCTTGAAAGTCAGTTTATGATCAAATTTCAGTTGGTTTTCATGGCCACTGATTTCGCCATTATAAATGGCTTGAGCACTTGATTCTTTGCAATTTACTGGCAACTTAAATAGACGATAAGTCACTGAAGCAAATTTGACATCACCTGTTTAAAATGCAAAAAAATAGAAAAATTGATAATACCCCAAATTCAATATCAAGTCATGCACACATACACACACACATATATATAGATAAGATATTGCACATTGAGTGGTGGTATTAATAAAATAATGCTTGATATAACAGAGCTCTTATGTGTGTGTGTGTGTGTGTGTGTGTGTGTATATATATATATATATATATATAAAAACACATTTTTTTCTCACCAGTAGCACAACACAATCTTTAGGTGCTGAGTAGAGACTGACCATGACATAATTTAAATTTTAATAAAATATCTGATTAACACAATGTTGGCACAGTCTGTATATTATATGGGGATGACTGTGTTTTACTGCACCAAAATTGTGTTAACCAGATATTTTTAGTAAAAATTAAAATTATGTAACACTCAGTCTCTACTCAACATCTGAAGATTGTGTTGTGCATGAAACTCTCGAATCATTCTACCAGTGAGGGGGATATATATATATATATAATATATATTTGGAATTGATTTTTTTACCCGACAATATTTCTTATTACTATAAACATTATTTTTAGTGGATACACATATATGAATTGCAATTACAGCATTTTTATTTTCTCAAACATTTTTTATTTTATCAAATTAATATCATCTGGCCTAGAAAAGGAGATAAAGGGTCAATTCCTGTTGGAGACACAATTTTTCTTTAGTAGCACTTCTCAATTTAGGCTGGTTGTTATTAATTTCACTGTTTAAGAAAATATAAAAAAAATAGGGATTACAGCTGAATCAGCTGTTTTTGAGCACTTTCTGTAATGGGATAAATTTGTAAGGATACAGAAGACGATTATCTCCCTTTGGTGGAAATAAGTCATGTGGGTCATGTGATAGCCACTTAATGACATCACTCCTTACAGTGACAAAAGTGGCAGTCAAATACAGTTGGTCTACAGTAGCCCAACTGAGTGGTTGCTTTTGTTAGCCTGGCCCTCTACAGCTGGGCAGAGGCTAAATCAGTCTCCCCAGCAGCTTACAAGTCCATGATACCATTTCTTTTTGGGAATATATCTTTCCCAGATAGAGGAAGAAACTGCCTTGCAGTCCTCAGTTTGGGAAAAATGAAGACTTGCTGTATTCCCTTCATGGAATATGTCCTCGCCTGAGATATAGTAGATGAATATGGCCAATTTGAATCTGGACTTCTCCAGAAACACAAAAAATTTCCATATTATGTGTAAGGCACATCCTTCTTGTTTCTCTTTAGACTCTCCTCGCTGTGCAGATATATGATATATTATTCTCTGCAGGGGAAATGTGTGTGTATATATATATATATATATACACAAATCTAAAGAGAACAAAATGAATATAAATTAAAATGTTCATAATATTAATTTAAAAGAGAGCTTAATATGTGGTGGTGTCTGGCTGTCGGTTCCTAGGAACTGAGCTGCTTGACCCTCATACATTGAATATGACGGTAGAGTCCACAATAGTTTTATGTATGCCTTAGTGGTATAAATGTCTCTCTGGGAACAAAGCATATTTGTCATTCATTTTCCTTTCTGCCATTCTGTTCTGTCCATGAAATACAGTGATATTATATCATGGATATAATAATGCCCACAACAGGGGAAATACAAATGGCTGAATAAAACTTTCTATCATAGTACTTTCCTGTTATAAATTCATGCAAAGTTATCAATGGTCAAAAGAGTTGTTAAAATGCACAAGCATTTGGAACTGTTTGCCCAGACATTTCAACTCCTGCCCACCACTGGAAAAAATTGCATAACAAATTGACATACCATGTTGATTTCTTTATTAACAAGCTTGAAACACAACTCAGATTTTTGCTTTTGGCAGAGAATACATGTGGGCATTTTATTTGATGAGTGACTTTCATTGCTACACTTTCAAACACTGGTAAAGAATTTCTACTGGTTTTTGTGTAATTTTAGCATAACATGCTGATATTTAGACTTAGTGTCTTCAATGAACACAAAAAGTGCTTCTTGTGGTGTGAAGTGCAAACACTATATGTTGTCCAATTGATTTTCATTTAATTTTTCTTTCTCCTTCATAAACTAATTTACTGGGTATTTTAAAGGTAGGATGAAGTAGTTAGCTGTTGGATTAAGTATATTCTAACATAACCATCAGTAATCTGGCAATAACTTATCTGGTACCCTATAAGTGCCAATGATATTGAATAAGCGACAGACAACCTGTAATTGTTTCTAAGACTACTTGTGAGGTAGAATTGAATAAAAAATTCAATTTGTAGATACTAAATGTTGTAGAGTAGTTTTCACAGTGGAGGCTTGTATTTTAAAAAGTCGTCCTAAATTAGGTTTGATGTACAAAATGTTAGGAACTTGAAAATAAGAGTTAATGACACAGCAAATCTAGTTGTGATGGTTGGTACTTCAATGTCTGATATCGTCTGACTTGCTCAACACCACTGAGCCGAACTGGCGACTGCTACTACTTATTATCTGTGGGAGAGTCCATTACAATAGAATAGGTATATGGTATGACACTAAAACACATACAATAGTCAAAATATTTTAAACAAGATCACCTTACATAAAAATAACAATTAAGGGTGTGTGTCTAAGAATGATTAAAAAAAAAATTAAAAAAAATTAAAAATATTGGTTAGACTGTTCTTGAGTGTGCATGCAAACAGGATTGATAACAATATTCAGATTCTGACCTGAAAAATAAAAATAAAACAGGAAAGTATTTCTTACCCAGAATTTTTTTAAAGTCTTCCCTTTCTACCGGTACTGGGCTTATTGAGACTATACGTGGCTGACTAAAGCCAACAGTTTCAGCAATTTTATGCAAGTCCTTCCAGTAGAGAGCACCAGAAATACATTCTCCTAGAAAGAGAAAGGAGTGAAAGAAAATATATTCATTGATATTATGATGTTAATAGCTCAACAGATGCTACAGAAAATAACCCCCAAAATGTCTTATTTGAAGATTTCCTGAAATATTTAGAATCTAGGATGAATTTAAGTTTTAAAAGTAAGCAGGAAGAATTATTTTTGAAGACAGAAATAAAATATAAGAAATGTACCATATCTAATGGCATATAAAATGCTGCCTTTTTGCCCAAAATGGGCCAAAAAATAACTACAAGGTCTTATATGTGAAACTGAAAGATTCTGTAGACAAGGCACCAGATTAACTATTTTTCACCATTGTCTCTGAACTGTTTCAAAAAAACATCAACTATTTTGAAAATATTTTAAAATCTGCCTCAGAATCAAAATGTTGTTGCTTTTTAAAAAAAACTTTGTTATAATTCATGGTTGTTAATAGTATAATAAAAACACCAATAAAATGTTTAAGAAATAAATATTTATTCTGATCCATTTAAACTGTGGTCCTTGTGATCTGTAGTTAAGCATTCCAATTCAGTTTATGATCAAAAAGAGAACAAAACACTTAAATGTTGTTTGCTAATGGTTCATTCAATTTTTTGATTAAAAAAATTGACAGAAAATATATAATTTTCTTTGTTTATTAAAGCAAAATTAGTTCCAACAATTAAATACTAACATTTTTCATATATAAAGAGAATACAAATATCTAAATTTAAAGTCCTTAATTTTTACTTTTGGGTTTCGTTCACTAGTTTCAACCTTTAGCACTCTACATTAATAGTATTACTTTCCTCTCCACTGCTTTCTTTTTCAAGGCCACTCAATTACAGTATACTTATTGCTAATTTCCCTCAAAGTTGTTTTCTGTTGTCATAGCAGGATATGACAACACAATTATGAAATTCAAATACAGTATTATTCAAGGATCAGAATCAATTACAATAGAAGGATAAACTTTCTGTATAGCAAATGAAAACAAATACAGAGTGATAAAGTTAAAAAAGAAATGCTTATGTTCTGTGTATTTATTTTGCGTGTGTGTGTGTACACTGGCTAGATTTATTAAAACCAGTCACTACTGATGAGAAGTAAGGAGTTTTTTTTTATTTTAAGAAATTAACTGCTTTTAGAATAAATATAATAGAATTTTAATTAAAAAATTCTTATTGTCCCAACATCCTCCCAAAAAGCCTAACCAGTCATGCCAAACTAATGTCCTATTATTCCCAGAATGACAGGATGACATTAATTTTGAGTTCTGTTATCAGTACTAGTTTCTAACCTAACTTTATAATACTGCAATATTAAATGTAAATATTTTCTCTTATATACCATCAAATTTGATATTTTCCTTACCCCAAAGGTCAGGGTGTTTTCGAGCTTCTTCTGATACCACTTTATCAGCATAGATGTCACTGAAAAACAATTCTCCACCCATCTAGTAAAAAAGAAAAAAAAATGTGAGAGAGAAAATTTGAATATTAATTAAATGCTACAATGAATTTAAATTCATGCTATATTTTTTTCATGTTTCTTCTGACACATTAATCTTTACTGCAATCATCTTTTGATGTCTAGAATTTTAGCTATTCAAATATAACTAATTGGAAACAATCAAGTAGATTGGTCAAAACATTGTATCTCAGAATAATTGACCTATACTCTTCTTTCTGTTGGACATACAAGCATAATCTTACCATGGAAGTTGGATTTCTATCCTATAATAATTTTTTTAATCATTTCACCCCAAGCAAGGCAATAAAGCCACTAGGACTCAAGGGATTACTGAGTGTTATAGAATATGACAGAAACTACTATTAAGGAGAGAGGACAATAAAAGAACAAGAATTAAGAAAACAGAAGGTAACAATTGAGATTGCATTTAAATTTTTGATGATTAAAGTTGACTGGCAAACCAGAAGAGAATTTCACAAATGAGAAATGTGACAGAAAAAACTATTAGAATGGTTACATTGAGCCAATTCAAATGTAAAATTATGAGACCTTGCTGCCAGTCAACTACTATTATTGACAATGCCAACTTTCTACTACCTTAATAACAAGCATAAAAAATATCAGGTATGTTCCCAGCATTCATAGTGGAAAACTAGATACGGGATACACAGTGGAAAACCAGTTTTTCTGCTGTAAAGTTTTGCATACACCTTATATATATATAATTAGTAACAAGGTGCATTGTATAATGTGGTATATGAAATAGTATAAAAGTTGTGAGTCAGTCTTTAAAAATCGTAACATTGTGATGAAATAAGTATTGATGTTCACCATAAAATCTGTTATTAATTATAAAAATTAATTTGGTACACGTTACTTTTGATGACTGCAAGACAATCAAATTTCATTTATAAATTGTTTGTCCATTTAAAATACATTTATTAGAAAATATATTCAGGTTAAATACAAACAATCATAAGAATGATTTGGCTTATACTTTTTTCATGTTATCCAAGAGTTATTGCCAATCAGAAAGAAATTAGTCTTTGCAAAAAAAAAAAATGATGACTGTTTCGATTTAATTCAAATTGTTTATGTAAGTATGTTTGCATGTGCACATGTATACTTTAATTCAAACACTAAAAACAGACCTAAAAAATATTTCTATAATGTTAAAAAAAGAAAAAATAACTTTAAAAAGTGGATCAATTTATTACCAATTAATTTCTGAAAAATTCAACAAAAACTTAATTATAACTTATAAAATTTTTTTGCCTTTGATTTTATTGTTTAGCTCAGGGTACAGATTGCCCAGACTGAGTGTCTTATTTCAAACTAAGTCAAATAGTGTGTGTGTGCTTTCATGTACATTAAATGGCACTAACACATGTAAGAAATGTATGCACAACACAAACATATACATTACATATGTACATGCAAAGTCATATGTAGACAGTTTTGATGAACAGGAAATCATTTACACTATTTACATTGTTTGGACTGTTGTCATCATCTTTGTTGCCAAATTCACAATGCTTCGGCCGTTGTATGCTTCAGCCTTCTTCAGGTGATTGGAATTTTGAACTGAACCCTTTATTTCATTCACTGGGGTAGATTTTTCTAGTTTCACATGTCTTGCCTCTTCCGTATGTCTCATTATGAGTTATTTCCCTTTAACTCAACTCTCCAAGTTGAATACAATATGAGAACCTGTATTATGAAATACTAGAGAAAAACAATAACAATAAAATTGCAATATGAGCTCTGATAAAAAATGTTACTGAGACATGAGGTTTATAAGTCTCAAAAATTTATACACTGATGTCTTCAAGGAGACATGGCCCAGGATAAATGCAATCTAAGAAACGTAGATAAAAGTGTTGGTTGAATCCAGTGACTTGACTCAAGTTGTGAGTTCAATACCTGTCTACAGCTGGGTGAATGAAAAAACTTGGAGAGTTGAGTTAAAGGGAGATAAATGATACCGAAACGTCCAGAAGAGGAATGGCATTTGGAACTAGAACAATCTGTTGCAGTAGATGAAAGAAAGGGTTCTGTTTGAAATTCCAATCACCTGAAGAAGTCTGGAGCTTACAATGGCTGAAACATTGTGAATATGGCAACAAAGATGAGAACAACACTCCAAACAATGCAAAGGGTGTAAATAATTACAGTACCTTATCTCAGAAATATAGACAGAAAATCATTTCTTTTTTTATAATATAAATTAAACAAAAATACAGTATTAATTATAGGTTTATAAAAAGTCTGGTAACAATTATCAATGTATATTCATTCATATATTTCCTGTTCCATCCGTAGTGAGTAGTGGGGGTGGAAATCAGCTTAAGTTAGTAGATTTATGAGTGATTACTTCCCTTAGTTACTTTAATAACCTTTAGAATTAAAATATTTACTACATTTACACAAAATTACTTCCCAAGACAAAATGAACTTTTTAATTAATCAGTTCCTTCATTCCTACATTTCTTAGATTGCTTGCTGTCTTATTTGTTCAAGCCTTTCATGTGAGGCACTCAGATACCTTTTGTCTATTAAGTGATCATCTTGTTTCAACTGGGTCTTGAAGTAGGCATTGTCATCTCTGTCTTTGTTGTTCTGTTGCTAATCTTTTTCTATAGAGAGATATTTCCATTTAAATATTATATTGGTTGGTTTGAATCTTATTGAGAAGGACTTTCCCCTCCCCAATTCATAGGCAGAAGCACACAAATGCATACTGGAATTTCTTCCTAGTCAATAAGATAGGCCACTCATTGGTGTCATCTGTCTCAGTCCTGGTCTGTCTTGCCTTGAAGTCAGAACATTATAATTGCATATCTGAATTTGCTCTTGTGTGTCAACCCCAATTCTTAGTTTGTGAGCTTTTTGCCATAGTAATGTTTCTTTGCTTTATTACTGTTAATTTGCCTTTCATATATTGTTTGCTTGCTTTATATTATTTTTTGCCCTGTTCTTTTTCTTGTTATTGTAATTATTTATTGCAAACTTTGTCAAATCTGTTTGTTAGGCAGTTCTGCCATTTATTTATATTTAACCATAGCCACTCATTCTATATAAATGCATAAACTTTTCAAAATTAAAAGATATTGTGCAAAAAGAGATTTATATAATACCAGGAGTAATCAATGAATCAAAGATATCATTGAACATCTAAAAAATATAAGGGGCACAAATTTATTAAGTGGTTCAGTGACCTATATTTTGGAATTCCTAAAATTAGGATACCAAACTGAACAGAGATATATATTTCGAGAATGGGGAAAAAATCTGTTTAAAAGCACTATTCAAACTTTGCTTGGCCATCAGATACTCTGTGGCCAAGAGCTCAAAGACTGTCAAGATCTCATGACGGTTTCCCCAGGTTTGAATTCTGATGGAGAGGACGTATTTTTCTAATAAGATTTCTTGAATATTCAAGCTGGTAGATGTAAATAAATAAATATACTGTTTAATAAATAAACAGAGCTTCTACTCAAATATGAGTATCTACTAAAAATAACATTTAAGTAATATAGGTTTTCATTTGAGCTCAATGTTCACGAAATAAAAATTATAAAAGAAATGGATAATTAAAATCTCCGTCTTCTTATTATCATTATAACACTCTGTAGTCTACATTGAGCACTCCCTGGATTTATATCCTCCTTGTAATTATCCCTTATATATATATATATAAACTAGTTTCCTGCTTGCTAGTTGTCAGTTCTAATAAAGTAATTTATTGTCCCTCTTATCCTGAAAAAATCCCAACGCGTTTTCCTTATACACAGTTTAGTCTTTTGTTCCAAACTGAAGAACCAAACCCAACACATGTTGGTGAAATGTATCATTTATTAGCTTTTTCACTTTGTCTCATCATCTCTACTTTTGTTTTGGTTACTATTATACATCCTACAACATGAATATAACTTCCAAGCACAGGGATAATAAAAGAACATAGTGGGTGAATGGTACCAACTTAGGTGGTCAGAATTTATCAACAAAACTTAATGATACAGCATTATAATTATAGAATCAAGACTTGCAAGGTTTACCTTTAACACTTGGTAACTCTGGGAAAGGACAGCATGCTTGTCAGGTGATAGGTTGATGACACAGTTGGAACTGAAATATTTACAAACATTTTATTAAAGTGGACATAGTATCAAAATCTTACAACAATGGATCCTGAAATATTATCACTTTGTGCCAAATCAAAACTGTATTTTCTTTTTTAATCATTTCACCCCATGAAATGCAGTAAAGCCACTAAGACACAAAGGGTTATTGAATGTGAAAGAATAAAAAAAAATAAGAAACATTATTAAGGAGTGAGAACAATAGAAGAGTTTTCAAGAAAACAGTAGATAACGATTAACACTGTATTTAAATTTTTGAAGATCAAAGTTGACTGGAAAGCATGGAAACAGAAGAGAGTTCCACAAGCAAGAAGTGCCAGAAAAGAAACTATTAGCATAGAACTTATGGTTACATCTAGACAATTCAACTGTAAATTGCTGAGACCTTGTTACCAATATAGCACTGTGCTTAAATTCATGAAGGCTAGGTACCATGTATATCCTTTAAACAAAATACTTCAAAGTAATCTAATTTAAATCATCACAAAAGACATTTATTCAACCTTTACAACATAAAATAAAATGGTTCTAAAGAAACAGTGAATTGATTAATCCATTAATTGTGGGTGCCTCCACTTTTTCACTAAAAAAGAGCAAACCATGGTGAAAAAGGCCCCAAACTAAAATTAGATTATGGAGAATATTTTCCAACATTTAAGATTACTGAGTACTTGAAAATTATATAAAAATCGCACTCATGTCATTTTCTTGAATTATATTTGACAGATAAAGTCTCTGTAGAACAACAATAAACCTGTCATCACCTAGTTATCACTTGTCATCACTCTTCAGTATTTTGCTTACTGGAAATAGTAAATTTAATCATTTAGCTTTCAATTAAAGCTAAAATGAAAGCTTCAAGAAAGCTTTTACATTTTTAAAAATTCATTTTAAACCTTAGGTATTGTGAATTAGTAGTGGTAACATAATTAATTGTAATATTAGATGTTTCTGTATCAGGAAACATTTGGCATTCATTGACAGAATAGCCAGTGCTACTACAGTTATGCTTTTCTTCAGTCCCTGGCAATCTGGTTGGAATCAAAGTGTATCACCTGCCATCAAGCAGAAAAAGTACATTTTATCTCCCAATTGTGTTTCTGTCTGTGGATATAGCACAACTGAAAATATTATCAAGAGGTGCCTGATCTGGGAAACAGCTGTCCATGTCTATACCTCCCTCATTGCACTAGAGAAGGTGCATTGGTAGTAATACCAATGCCAGTGCAATCGATAGGGAGTGAGCTATTTTGAGATCTGACCAAGGTGCACACACTTGGTCTCCCCATATTAAACTGATTTTGTGTCACATAAGTAAGTTTAATATCTGTTCTCATCTCTTAGAATAATGGTAATGGTAATATTAGCTGCTTCCTTGTAAGGAAATATTTGGCATTCATTGACTGGAAAGCCAATGCTACTGCTGGTTGAAATTTATAAAATCTTTCAATTAAAATAACTTCTCAGGAAAATAGGTTTTTCTCAAGTTCACTGTTATCATCTTTTACGGTATTGATGGGGGCTTCCTATCTTTTTGTTTGAAGTAGTGTGGAACATCAAACTCTTGATTATGTCACTATTTTCTCTTTAGGTTACATGTCCTATCCATTTTATTTGTTCCTTTTGTTCAAAGTCCTCAAGTGATGTGGTTTCTCTTTTCAATATTAATTATAAAAATTAAAATAAAAATCCAGTATTAATTATAGGTTTATACCTATAACCAAATCAGTACTCATTGTATTATTTTCAGGATGGTGGACATTAATGGATTAAGCAGTATAACAACAATTTTGCAGATGTCAATGCATCAGATCACTATAAGGAATAAGGGGAGCATAATAAATCTCTTTCTAACAGCAGCCAGTTTGTCTCTCAAGATTACACATATAGCTGAATATTTATAAAAACATTATTATTAAATCCTAATTTGTTTTTCTTTCATCTTAATATCAGTTGCTTTTTATTGTAACTTCTCAGACCTTCATTGTGGCTAGACAATAAGGATTAGAAATAAAAAGAAAGGTTTTGGTAAAACTGAAACTAGTGTGCCTTTTTCATTAGGAAAAAGGTCATAGCTGAGCTGAGAAATTGCAATAAAAAAACAACTGAAATGAAGATGAAAAAAATACTAGTCAAAAATCAATAATTAACAATGATTCATCTAATAAGAAATTCAATATTAACTAAAAAAATATATGTATGGTATAAAGAAGTGAAGACATGCTGAAAATTAATGTCAAAAAATGTTAATTCCTCTTAAGCAGTCAGCTTTTTGATCAGCTCTTATGAAAGTAGACTGTTGAAAAAAATGTAAAATATTAAAACAAAATTAGGAAATATCTAAAATTACCATTACCATTTGTAAATCTGTTTTCTTGTTCAATCATTTAAATTTATCAACAATCTTCTTTGCCATGTGTTTATTGAAAAGATGGCTGCTTAAGATGATTTACATAACCATTTCCTTTTTCTCAATAGTAATTTTCAACATGTCTGCTTCTCCATGTTATACTTAAGTTTTGTACTATAAAGAAATTGTTTAAAAAATATGTGTTTGTATGCATACATGTGTATATTAATGTAGATATTTTCTAAGCTAAATGCTTCATAAGAATGTTTGATGGGTTAGGGACATTAGCAGACTGAATACTCCTGTTGTAAACAGATTCTTAGAGATTCAAGTCTAATGGTAAAAGAAGAGCTATCAAACAAACAAAAAAATAGATGTATTGAAACCATGGTACAGTAAAAGGAAAACATGTCTATAAAACATATCTTTGTTATGTCTTCCGTTCTTGCCATAGCTAATCAAAAGCCTTTCTTAACTGATCTCATAATATCCTGTTTATCTTCAACCAAATGGCCAATAAGAGCCTTCCCTCTAACCATCTCAACTTGAGTTTGTGAACTTAGTGTGAAACAGTACTACAGTAGTAGTGAAAACAATGTGGACTGCCAAATTACATTTCCTCTTCTGCTAAAACACGTGTTGCTATTCATGGATCCATTAATAACCCATACCTATATATCTACAGTAAGTATATTTTCATTAATCCTACAAATCCTCAGAATGTACATTGTATAGTCTTAAGTTACCTTCCTACTCATGAATCTATTAATGATCCTACTATGATGGAAAAACTGTCATGTAATGGTAACAAAAAAAAAGCCCTACAATAAACTTTTTTTAAGGTTGGAAGCATATTAGCCACTACCCATAGTGACAGATATTTTACAAAATTATGTAAAAGCCTTGAGAAAAAAAGGCCAAACCTTGCCTTGCAAAAAACAGTAAAATGATTGAATTAAATAAAAGTAAAAGAGAGGCAGAATTTTTCAAAGAAACTTGTTTTTCGCCAGGAAGTAGATGATCATGGCTCTCCAGAAGTTACTTTTCTTTATTATGTGTGAATTACTATGATCCCATGGGAAAGATAGGAATGGTTTACCATTGACTTCTCCATAGTTTTGAATTCAGAGTATTCCTTTTCCTAGAATAGCTGCCATGCAAGGCTAGAGAGTCCAGTCTACCTTGCAATCCATGCCAAGTGCACTAACATAAAGTCATAGGCTGCAATTTGTTCACCAAATTCAGTTTCTACGCCGATAATCGTTACTCTCCACACACACTATGTAAATAATACAATTTCTTTTTTACACTATTGTTTCAATTGATGAATTAATCTGTTCTATGCTAGAATTGTAACCATGATGAGAAGACTTTATGATTTATTTCAAGAGTTAAGGAAACGGTTGACATTTTTTTTCAAGGGAAACAACTAGCATCTTAATACTGTATTATAACCTCCCCTTAAAAAAATTCTTTTGTAAAATGCGACAATTAATTTTAATGCTCGGTAGGCGAATTCTATAGTAACTCATTTTAAGGTGGTTACCTTATTTGTTCATTATGACCAAATTATTTGTTCTAATACAAGAATTTGAAGAGGAAGGAAAACCGAATAATGATTAAATAATAACTAAATCAATTAAATTTATTTTTTAAATCATTTTACTCCAAGCAAAACAATAAAGCTATTAAAGCACAAAGAGTTATTAAGTATGAGAAAATATGAGGAAAAAACCTGATAAAACAGGATCTTGCTCAATAAACTGAATGACAGAGTCTTACCAGACAACGAGAAAAATGTTCCCCGAGGAGAAATTTCAGTAATAAATTAAATAATGCCTAAAGGTTAAATCCACTTTGGTAGGAAGGGAGACAAGCTACTGCTTAGAACACATCCATTGAACAGAGGAGTGGGAGTCTAATATCTTCAGAAATTTGTTAGACAAGGATGGTGAGTTCAATCCTAAGTAGGACCACAAGAGTCAGCATAGTTAACAAAAACATTATTAAGGAGAGAGTACAATAAAAGAACAAGAATTAAGAAGACAGAATAACTGACACTGCATTTAAATATTTGAAGATCAAAGTTAACTGGAAAGCAAGAATCTGGAAGAGAGTTCCACAAATGAGAAGTACAAAGTAAGAAAGTGTTAGCAACAATGCAACAAGATAAAGTGCATGCTAGAATCATGTTGTAATCTCTGATCAATTTATATAAAATTGGACATGATATGATAAGCAGACAAGCCGAGAGAGGAGAGGAAAAGATGAAAAGGGTTAGGTTTGTAACACATACATTTTCTTACTTTTAATCCTGGTGTGTTTTGAAAACAAGGGGTTTCTCTCAGTGATAAAGAAGAAAAATAATTTTCTATACGTTGTGTTTGCTTGTTTTTTTTTCCAGCATCATAGGGAACTATAAGACTGATAATCTCCTTGGAAACCAGAAAAATGGTCCAAACCTTAAAAAAATTAATAAAACTTCTTAAACAAAGAACATTCATTGGTCTTTGACTAAACTTGAAGATATATGCATGCATGTGTGTGTGTGTGTGCGTGCATTAGATTAATTATATTACAACAATATTTAGCCTTTGTGCCTGCAAAAAAAATAGTGCATCAAAAAGAACAGTATTTCCCTTGACACGGCTATTACTGTATACACTTTTGACTCCTTCAGCAATGTTTATTTACAATATTATAAAAATATATGAACCAAGTACAATGCAATATTTATTATTTATCATTTTATAAAGAAATAAGTTTGAATAGAAATCTTTTCATTTAAAATTTATAAAATTATGAAAATATGTGCTCTCAACCTATTTTAGTAAATTTGGCGAGAGCAAATGATAAAAATTATCAGAAAATGTATTATTTTTAAAATTTATAATTATAGTTACTCATTATTGAATGTTTATTTAAGTTTTCTTGTTTGGACACATTTTATAAATTTATGAATAAAAAAATTTGTTTTCATATTTATTTTTTTTTATAAAATAGTAAATAATAAATATGTCATTCATATATGAATATATGAATGACATTTTCATATATGTTCATATATATATATATATATATATATATATATATATATATATATATATATATATATATATATATGAATTTTTTTCATATATTTTTATAATCTTGTAAATACAAAATTATTCTTATAAATAAATAAGCAACCTAATAAATAAATAGTGTTTATTATCTTTGCTGTCAAGAATAAAGAAAATGTATAAATCCACTTTCATATGTTTGTGTTTTATTAAAATTATAATCATCCCTTTTTAAAACAATAAACATTGCTGATGGACATTATTTACATTATTCGGACTATTGTCCTCATCTTTGTTGCCATATTTATCACAACGTTTCGGCCGTTGTACGCTCCGGCCTTCTTCAGGTGGTTGGAATGTTGAACATAACACTTTATTTCGCTCACTGGGGTAGACTGCCTTAACCGGGTATTGAACTCACACTCTTTGGGTCCTGTCACTGGATCTAACCAACGCCTTTATCCACTGTGCCATGTGTCCTTGAAACGTTGTGATAAATATGGCGACAAAGATGATAGTCCGAATAATGTAAATAATGTACATAATACCTCATCTCAGAAATATAGACAGACATTGTTGATGGAGTGTATACAGTAATAGCGGTGTCAAGGAAATAACCATTCTTTTGACATACTGTTTTTTTGTCGGCATGAAGGTTAAAAACTGCCTATATTTCTATTTAGATAATAAAAAAAAGATACATACACAATAATGTCAAAAAAGTTTTCTTCAAGTCCAGCTTCTATTAATCGTTCAATGTACCCCTTGACAAATTTCACATTTGGTTTCTTGTAACCATACAGAGTTGTGTGATAATTGATGTATTCGTTGGCAACATTCAACTGCAAGATAAAAAGACATTAGTTTATAATCAAATGCTCTTGTGTGGATATCTTAGAAAATATATAAAAACAATAATATTAAGAACCATCAAGACTTTCTTCAAAATCCGTACTCATTTATGATACAATTTATTGCATTCACTAAATATCTGTTTTTACATGCATCTCACGGAATAATTTTCTTTTCAATGCATTTTAGTAAGTCATCCCACAAAGCACACATTTTTCTTTTGTTTTGTTTTTACTCAAGTTCACCATACTGTTTATTAACATTGACTCAATACAAGGCCCAAGAGCCACTCAAGACAGAGTGTTACTGAATGACATGTGTGATATGAACATAAGAAGTAAGATGTGAAGATTACAAGGATATAAAGAATAAATAATGAATGACTCTAGACTTGAAAAGGTTATGATTGTAGTGTTTGGAGAAGCATGCATGTAAGAATCTGTTGCACTAAGTAGTAATTCTTGGAAAGAAGGTTCTGTAATGGCATACCATTCTTACCAAAGGAATATATAGGGAATGAGGGGGATTCAGTCCTGTGGACATAGCAAGGTGGGTCTTGGCCATAAAGGTCTGAGCTAGTAGCACTAAAGAAAGGAGCTTGTCTGAACATGTCTGGGAAATGGCAAATATTCATAGAACAAATATTAAGTAAATTCAAGAAATCTATGACAATCTTTGACCTTTGTGGCTGCAAAAAAGAAAAGGGAGTGTCAAAAGGATGGTTTTTTTCTTTGACACTGCAATTATTTTAAATACATTCACTTCTCAGCAATGTTTGTTTTAAAAAGTGATGATTAGAATTTTAATAAAACCTAAATATATGAAAATGAATTTATGCATTTTCTTTGTTCTTCAGAATTGACAACAAAAATAATAAACACTATTTATTAGATTTTTTGGGAATGGTTGACAAAACATTGGCTAATTGTCAATTGATTCAAACTTTATAAAATGGTAAATAAGGATTCCCTTATAGTTGGTTCATATATTTAAATAACTTAGTAAGTGTTTATAAATTTGTGAATAAAAAATTGTTTTCATATTTATTTCTTTATGAATTGGTAAATGATAGATATTGATAAAATGGTAAATGATAGATATTGCATTGTACTAAGTTTTAGAATGTTGCAAATCTAAAATTATTCTTGTAAATAAACAATCTAATAAATAGTGTTTAACATTTTTGTTGTAAATTCTCAGGAACAAAAAAAAATATAAATTCACTTTCATATGTTTAGGTTTTATTACAACTCTAATCATCACTTTTTAAAACAGTAAACATTGCCAAGAAGTTAAAATAATAGTGGTGCCAAGGGAAAAAAAGAAGTCCTTTTGACACTCCATTATTTTGCAGGCACGAAAGTCCAAGATTGCCAAAATATATTAATATCAACCTATATATATATATATATATATATATATATATATAATGATAAGAAGACAGGGACTTTAATTATCCATTTTGTTTATAATTTTCATTTCATGAACAATAAGATGTTCAGCTCATCTTTTTGTTCTGATGAGCTGAACATGTTAACTCTTCTTAAAAGTTTAAAAATTACAAAGAAGGGGTTCAATTGTCTGAAAAAAAAATTGCAATGTTAATACTGCTTCTTAAAGTTTATTGATAATAAAATATTTACTAATGTTCATCAAATACACGGCCCAAGAGTCACTCAAGGTAGAGAGTTACTGTGTGGACTTCTATTAGCATAAGAAAGAACAAGTGTTGGAAGTATAGAGCTGAAGCAGAGTTTAGAAGGAATCGGAAACCCAAACCTAAACAGGAAACAAGGGCTAAACCTCTACTCCTGTTCAAAAGACTGGAGAGGAGTGTGAACCCGGGCGATAGATGAACCTATCTACTTCTATTGATGGAGGAGAGAGAAAAAAAAATAAAATGCAAAAAATAGTGATTAAAATTTCAGACTTCAGGTGTAGGCATTAGGAGTACAGAGCTGAAGCAGACTTTACGAGGAACAGGAAACTAGGGATAAACCTCTACTCCTGTTCAAAACACCAGGGAGGAGTGTGAAAAGAACAAACTTACCTGTTCATCTGTCATGTCAATACCTACAACATACCCATCAGGTCCAACTAGCTTTGACATGGCAAAACAGTCGAGCCCACTTCCACTGCCCAGGTCTAGGATACTTCTACCCTCTAAACATTCAGGAATTACAAGGCCGCATCCATAATATCTAGAAAAGTTTTCAAAATTATCAATTAACATCTTATTAATCTCATAATGTTATACTGAACATATTAACCTGCATGGTAATCTTACATGTAGAGTACAGTGATGAAATCTTGTTAAAAGATTTGAAAAGGCCAGGAGACACCTTTGAGTGAAGGCTGTTATATTACAGGAATTATAAGATGGCTGAAAGCTTATGAGAGCAGAGCTGAAGGATAAGTAAACAGATAGAAATTCAGAGAACTGACATTTAATAAATAAAAAACTGGGGCGGGGGACACAAAATTTTATCATGGCTTTAACTTGTAGCACTCTGCATTATTAATATTACTTCTCTTTCCACTGCTTTCTTTTTCAAGGCCTTGCAATTGCAATATGATTATTGCTAATTTCGCTGAAAGTTGTTTTCTGTTGTCATAGAAATATATGACAACACAACTATGAAATTCAAACACACTATTGTTCAGAGATCTTAGTCACCTTCAGTGGCAGGATAAACATTTTGTACAGCAAATGAAGTCCCATTCAGTGTATCAAAGGTTAAAACGGGATATTTTTAAAAGCATATATTCACATAATACAGTTCTTTGGTTATCAGTACCTCGATTTTCTGAATTTTCATTATTTGGATGTGAAATGAAAAGAAAAACAGGAATCATCCCAACTTTTTTCAATTACCAAATTAAACCCATTCTAATATTTCCTCTCAGACAAGTGTTTTGAGAATTCAGAAAATTATACTCGACATTTGATAAAAGCACTAATAAAATTATTCCAATTAATTCTTGCTAATACCCTCATTGTTTTCATACAAGGAACATACATTTGAATTACCACCACTTTGTCATGCCAAAGATTATGGCTCATGCAACTTTCATATGTATGTAAACAGACAAAATTTGGTGTATTTTTTCATCAAAAATAAACTGGAAGAAAAACCCTGAACAATATGTTTAAAAATGTTATTTGGCAATATAAATGTTAAATTTCTTCCCCAAAATGACTTTTTTCTTCATTCTTATTTGATAACTTAGGTATTCAAATAGTAAGAAAAGAAAAATGTAACAGCCACAAGTCCGGCTTTGAACAACTGTATTTTGTGTTCCAGCAACAAGTGTCATAAAGAATGACATGCTACTAGAATAAGTTGAACAAAATGACTCAACTCGAGAAATCGACTTTGTGGGATATAGAGTATACCAACACCCGGTAGAATCTAGAGGTTGTGTTTACACCTTATGCATTTATGCAAGTGTTGGTGGAAGGATAACTGTCATGTTTTATATTGTTATGCATTTCTGGAAATGTTCATTTGTTGTTATATGATATGTCTGAATATATGTTTTGTATGTTGTATATTTCTTCTGATTTATGTATATGGTGCTGGTTCTGGTGGCATAGAGAAAGATGGATGAATAAGCTATAAATCACACTTGATAATTATTTAAAATACATATTACTATGTATATTGAAAAAGAAAAACGGTGGTAATGTTATAGAATGCGAAGACCAGAATGGTCAGTGATTGGTTGGAATGCCTCGTAGATAGGGAATTCTGACAGTGATGGATTCCTTTGTCTGAGTTTTGAATATAAGTTCAAAACAGTGTCAATTGAACAGATTCTCAAGAATTCTGAAGTGTCAATATGCCTCCCTCACAGGTTGGCAACTGGCTAATACCACCTGTAGAGGGACACTGAGCCACTGTGCAATAAGCATTCTGTAATGTCATTCCTCCTACTGCCTCTAAGAATCTAAGATGCCACTCTTAATAAAATGAATACCAAAAATAAATGACACTTTTTGTTGATACCATTTTATTTAGTAGCATGGGGATCCAGAGATGACACAGAATGCAACAATTTTTGATCTGTTAGCCAAGCTGGAAAGTTTTCAATCATCTGCAGTATTCTTGAGATTTATTCTGGTCATTACAAGAATTCTCATCATGAAAAAATTTTTTAACTTCCTAAAGTTTACAAAACACACCTTGATCAATACTTTGCTGAGAAAGATAAAAAGTTCAAAGAGGATAGAATTATGAAGTTGCTTGAATGCTGGCAGTAAATAAAATTTCATTAAACTTAATACAGAAATAAAACAAAATTTTACTTCATAAACTAAGTAAGCATTTTGACCAAATAATATTTTGCTCTAAGTTAGAAAACATTTTAAATAATGGTAATGGTGAAATTAGCCATTTTCATAAAGGAAACATTTGGCAATCATTGAATGAACCATTAGTGTTACTGTCAAGTGAAATTTATAAAATCTTTTTTTACCAGATTTTAAATTTTTTTAGAAAATTAAAGCTGGAAGAGTGATAACAATCAGTGGATTTGAGAAACCTATTTTCACTAGAAAGATTTTATAAATTTCTACCAAAAGTAGAATTGGTTGTTTGGTCAATGAATGTCAAGTGTTTACTTATAAGTTAATGGCTAATATCACAGTTACCATTATCCATATTACACTTTCTCAAGAATGCAAGATTAAGTTCAAACCTTGTTGAAGACCATGCATTTATTTTATGCTTAAGCAAGAAAAAAAATAAACGAATCACAGAATGTAATAAACAAACTGAATGCTGCAATTAAAAACAACAATAAAATGAAACAAATCAAAATTAATAAGTAAGCACTTTTTTCCCCTTTTTTTGTGATAAAAAGTATGGGAGATAACTCAATGTTATTATGCTGCTCAAGAAATATATTCAGTGCCGATAGAAGAAATTTTGTACATACTTTTTTGAAACTTCTTCATGAACTGAAGCAAGTGCCTCCTTCACTTCTTTTGTAAGTCCAGAGCCAAAACTTACTGTACATGCCTGAAGTTTGAGGTCATCTGTCTTTTTTACCTTCTGACCATAATATTCTTTAACTTGGTCATGGATGGTGGCATCAGAAACTGACATATTACCTGAAGAAAAATAAAGGTTTTATACATTTGTATATGTTATGTATTGGGATCCATGGGAATGTGTGTGTCTGTGTCTCTCTCTCTCTCTATATATATATATATATATATATATATATATATATATATAGAGAGAGATACTAGATGCTATATTTTATCATCCCTCTCTCTCTCTCTCTCTCTATATATATATATATATATAGAGAGAGAGAGAGAGAGGGATGATAAAAAATATAGCATTAAGGTATGTTATATTTATGGGTTAAAGGGCTCAACATTAGGGATAGAGTGTATATAAATATAAAAGTGGACATTAAATTCAACATCTAGTGGTCTGTTTCATGTTTAAATGCAATCTTCAGGTGATGTCTGAAGACATGGACTAAAGATTGTATTTGAGTATGAAACAGACTGTTGGTGCTGGATGTTGGCTCCAATACACACACACACATATATATGTAATAAATGAAGAATAAAAAGTAGACGTGTGGCATCCCAAGTTTCACTCTCAAAAATAAACACTTGTCAAGCCAGGTTCAATCTTTATTTAGTTTTCTTTGTGGTTTAAACTCTAAATATGGGCTCCTATTTATTTTACATTTTGTAGGCTCTACATTGAATTGAGCACTTTTAATTGCAACTTTATCATAGTTACCAACTATGACTATGTTTCATTCTATATATGTATGTATGTATGTATATATATATATTACACATATTTGGGCAGCAATTTCTCATTTATACAAGTTTTCACTAAAGATCAACAAAAGTCTTTAAGGAGTTATTTAAATTTATTTTTTCTATATTTTTGATAATTTTTCCTGGTTTCTACTACATATTTAAATATGGGTTGTCTGTGTACTTCCAGCTTTCAAAAGCCATTATCAAAGGATTTTTGCATTATGTGCTATCAAATTCACCATGTTTTGTATATCACATCTTAGTACCTGATGTAATGAAATAACCTGTTACCTCCATAAGTGACTACACTATAAGTAGTAACTACCTATAAGTATCTGGAAGTCAATTGTCTACAGAGACTAGTTGGGATCTGTTGAGTACAACTCAGACTTACGAGAGAACTACCGACCTTCGAATAGTAGCACTCACTACTGGATTGACTTGTGACGATCTTGTGCATAACTGTTACCTTTATTCTTATTATACTAGGTTTTTTATAATAAACCTTTACTTATTTTATCCACCTTGTTTTTCAAGTATATATTCCTGTTAGCACGGAATATAAAGAACTGTGTCTTCACATGGCAGTTTGTTTTATTGTGTTGTACTTTTTATTTCTATCATATTGTCCTGAGTATTTGAGAAATCTATGTAAAGAAAATGAGGCCTCTGGCAGGGATTGAACATATGTTTCCCTTTGTAAGAGAAACTATATATATATGTATGTATTACACAGTTTAATAAATAAAAATGGGTCTTCTATTTCAAATAAGAAGTGTCCACTACAATAACATCTGAAGTAATAAAAATGTTGGATTTAAAAAAAAAGAAATTTATTAATTCTTTACAAGTTTTTAAAATATTTTTTTAAATTTTGAATAAGTGAATGCTCTTAAATATTCTAAAAAGTTTACTATGTTAGAAAATGTAAACTATGGAAGGTGCTAAATGACATAATTTTTCAATAACAACAACATTAACATGAGTTAACCATTTTCTTTAAATTCTTAAAATTTAATGTATGCTCGCTTGAAAAAGGAGCCTTCTTTTAAGAAAGGAGTTGTTTGAAAAAATCCAGAGCATGGGTTAATATTTTTGCAAGAATTGAAAACTATGCTTTCAAGAACTTTTTGTCAAATTATTTTCTCTGAATGTGACAATAAAGATGAGAACAGTCCGAACAATTTAATTAGTGTAAATGATATATCCAATCTTATTAATATCAAAATAATTAAAAATACATCCCAAACTATTATGGAACCAAAAAACTATTATTCAGAACCAAAAATTTTCATAATACTAAAACAGTGATATATAAACTAAATTCTAACAACTGTTCCGTACAATATATTGGTGAAACATTCAGAAATTAAAAAAAAAATGTATTTATAAAAATTTTCTATATAGCAATTTATTCAATGCATTAGTTATATACCCAAATAATTTCAACCACAATTTCAATCTAAAAATGATTCTCGAGAGAAAGAGCTAGAGAAAAACAACAAAAAATGACAATAACAACAAATGAGGTGAAAATTATAGATAAAAAAACAAATTGTAATATGAGCTCTGGTGAAAATGGTTACTGAAACATTAGGTTTATAAGTCCCAAAAATTTAGTGGATAAAAGTGTTGGTTGATTGACTCAAAAAGTTGAGAGTTCAATGCTCAGTGGAGAGAAAAAACATTGGGGAGTTATCAAGTGAAATTAACTAAAACTGAGATGTCCAAAATCACAGTACATGGAATTAGAACAATCTAGCTCTGTGGACTAAATAAAGGGTTCAGTTTGAAATTCTAATAAATATCACCTGAACGAGGCCGGATCATACAATGGCCAAAATGTTGTGACTGTGACAGTAAAGATGAGGGTAACAGTCCAAACAATGTAAATAGTTACAATACCTCATTTCAGAAATATAGATAGATGTTGGACATATTACTTTGAATAAGAGATATTGGTAGGTAATATTATGTCTATTTTTATCTAATTTATTATTATCTTTTTTGTTGAAGATTTTGTATGTTTTACTTTTAGCATTGTGGAGGAAATAGTAAGGATATTGGAGGTTTTTAAAAGCACTTTAATATATATTTCTTTTTTATGCAAATACTGCAGATTATTAGTGCTTTTAAATAAGTTTCTATAACTACTCCAGATTTTATTAGTGGCAAGAATAAAGGTTTGTGAGGTCATTCTTGTTAGTAGACCTTCTGTAAACTTTTAGTTGAAGGTTTTTTTTTAATGCTATTTAGCATGATATCTAGGAAGGATTGGTTTCAAAAGAAAAATCTATCATGGTTCTACATTATTAAGTTTACATTACACGCCTCAAGGACACATGGCACCATGGATAAAGGCGTTGGTTAGATCCAGTGAGTGTGAGTTCAATACCCAGTTAAGGCAGTGGAGAACTTGCAGAGGGGAATTAACAGGAGATAACTGATAACTGACATCCATTAAACTCGGAACTAAAACAGTCTACCCCAGTGAGCAAAATAAAGGGTTCAGTTCGACATTCCAACCACCTGAGGAAGGCCAGAGTGTACAATGGCCAAAATGTCATAATAAATATGGCGACAAAGATGAGGACAATAGTCCGAATAATGTAAATAGTGTACATAATATCTCATCTCAGAAATATAGACAGATTATTAAGTTTATTTAAAAGTGTAAAATTATTTCATTAATTAGCAATATATAATAACTAAAAGTAATAATTAAGAAGTGTAATCAAATATTAAATAGTCTAAGTTTGTTTTATTTTTCTGAGAAATATCTTAAAAGAAAACCAGATGTTTTTTTTTTTTAATTGTTTCCTTTGTGTGTAAAAGTTTCTTTATTTAAAATTGGCTCTAAAAAGAACTGTCATAAATGTCATGAATTGTTGGGGCTCCATTTTTTAAAATTGAATATATATTTTAACCATGTATGTTTTGTTCAAACAAAACAGGTGGCTTCACCCATGTAAAATTAAAGTTGAAATCTATTTGAGCCTCTTTTGAGGACAAATAAGATGGGTCAACGGATGAACAACAGAAGGGATTTGGAAGTCATATGTGAATGAAACTGGCTGGTTGCAGAAGGATTTGTGGCATTCACATGTGAAAGTTGCTAAGAGAACATAAGCATTTCTTAAGAACTTACACCAACAACTTCTATGATGATGAAAAAAAAAGAAAAAAGAGAACCTTTATGTTGACCATACCACTACCAACAACAAAAAGGAAATTCACAGAAAGCATAAAGAAAATCGTTAAAGGCTCCGTAAGACATTTCAAAATATAATTCCAAAGTCTTGTGGGATAAGATTTTTGTCATTTTATTTAGGTGGGTGCACCTTTTATAACATCTCAAAGTTTTTTTTTCATGCTCTGAAGAATTGTATTGTAAATCATTTTTTAGAGCCAATGATTTCTATAATTATGTTGTTATCTTGCCTTGTCCATAATAAGGTGTATGAAAGGAAATTTTTGTGCAAGCCTTTTTGCAAAAAATGTATTTTGTCATATTGTTTCATGTCAATGTGATAAATGTTTATAACTTTCAAATTTCATGTAGTAGTTTTGAGGCTTGTTAGTTATTGTCTGCACAGTTTTTGATATTCAGGATAAGAGAAGTGACATTCTCTCTTCAACCATTCCCTTCTAAGGAAAAAAATTATTTTACAAGTTCTGATAAACTTATTATTAGAGTATAGTTTATGTATTTAAAATAAGAATTTTGTGGTAAAATATTTCTGAAAGGATGACTTGAAAACTCTAAAAAGAGACAAGCTAAAACTCAAGAGATAAACCAAATTTTGCTTTATAAAAGTTGTCAAAGGTAAAAAAAAACATTGTTTAGTAATTAATTTGTACAGTTTTATGATCTTATATGTGAGGAGAGGTAATTTTATTTTTAATTACATTAAGTGTTGTTTGAGAAAATTTAAGCATTTCTTTATGGGAACATTCTTATTGGAATACATGGATTATGTACTTTTGGTAATAAAATTTACACACTTGCCTTGATAAAAACAAGTGTGTAAATTTTATTACTTCAAGAAAAAAAAACCTCTTTGCATAAAAGCTTTCCTGTTGTCTTTTCTCTTATATTGTATTTACTGATATATTTTATCTATATCTGAATTCTTACACTACATACATTATATATATATATATATATATATATATATATACTGTGAAGAAATATAGTTTCAAGGTGTGCTATATTTATGGGATAAAGTGCTCAAAATCAGAGAGAGCATATTTAAATATAAAAGTGAACATTGAAGTCAACACTTAGAGGTGACAGACTGTTTCATGCTAGATGCAATCATCAATCTGTCACATTTGAGTGTTGATTTCAATGTTCACTTATATATATATATATATATATACACACACACATACATACACACACAGGGGGTGTATCAAAAATACTTTTACAAAATTTGGGGGTGGGTTCTTCACACCAAAACAAGCACAAAAGTTCATATAAACATATGTCTGCAAATCCTTCATTTTTGAGTTAAGTTTAAACTTTACAATAGATGCTGCAAATGATATGGATACAGGTGCTATTTTTGAAGTACCTTCCATGCAGTAGTATGAGATACACAACATGCTAGGGTCACTTTTACAGGTCACCTCCAACGACCTGTAAAATGTCTTCTTTGTGTTCAGGTGTACAAGCAGATTTTGGTCTTCCTGGATCCATAGCTTGTGGTTCCACAGATCCTGTCTCAGCAACCTGACAATAAACAGCAGCAAAAGTCGGATGACTCAACTGTCTTTGGTTTGGAAATGCAATCTGATACAGTTGTGCAGCTTTGCAGAAGTATGTAAAAATCATATTTGCTAGCTCATGATATAAATATCCAGCCATTTTTAAATGGAGCACTTCTCAGTTACCTCCCTACATATTAAATGTTGAAGACAGGCTTGCTACAAATGCACACAAATTTAACCTAGTCTACATGACAACACAGTACCAGCTACCATAAACTTTCTTTAAATGTAATAATAACTCAAAAATGAAGGATTTGTTGACATATGTCTATATGGACATTTGTTCTTGTTTTCTTGTAAGGAACCTGCCCCAAAGTTTTTAAAAGTATTTTTGATACACCCAGTTATATATATATATATATATATATATATATATATAATGGATGATAATTGCAGAATTGGTACAGATGATTCTTGTGTCATTAATGGTACACTGTTGAACACATTGTCAACTCTTAAGTGACCATGGGCTTTCAAGTGACTATTTAGTCCAGCAAAGGATTTGCACCAATTAAAGCATATGGATATACAAAAAGGAGGTTACCATGACAGAATTTATTGGGTCAAATGAGCGCGCACACACACAAGCTTTTTTTTCATATCACAGGTAACATTTTGCAAACAAATTGTCCAAAATAGGTGTACTTGCTTAAAATAACACAATTATACACGCAGTATTTGTATGTGAATTTTTAAAAGCATCATATAAAATTTCATAGCTTTTTCCAACAAAGTTATTGTTTTATAGTTTAAATGTCACACCTGAAATGAATAGGCAATCAAAGACACCAGTTAAAAAACATCTTCACAACTTTCAAAATATTAATTAATTGAATAATCAGATATGTCATAAAATTCAGAATCACCTGGTATTATTGAACTGATAATTCTAGGTACCATCAAAATGGATGAGTTTTTTTTTAATTTTTATTTTGAGTCCGTGACGGTACTTAAATTCCAGAATGTTATTCATTTTATATTCTAAATACATTTTTCCTTTAATGAACATTTGCAATTGAATTAATTATAATTAATGAAGAAAACTGAAAATTAAAAAAATATACAAAAAAAATTTAAATTATTTCCTACTGGTATGTATATCCGCGATCAATTTATCTGGCAAGATTTAAGTTCTTAATAATTTTATTTTTTTTTCATATTTTTTTTAAAGCGTCAAGAGATTTTTCGAAAATCAAGTGTATGCAAGAGAATTTTTCATGCTAATTTTGATTTGTCAGTGATAATTGACGTTTACTTGAAAGTAATTTAGAGGGGTAGAGAAGTAACTTCACGATGTCCGATTGTAACCAATTATTCACGTTTTTGTATACGCGATGATGATTGCTCCGTAATTTATAAGTTTGTGCTTTCAGTTTTATTGCTAAAATTATTAAGTTATTTTTAGGATAAGCATGATTTCGAATATAGGATACAAAAAATAACCTTCCACGCGCCATTATAACGAGGTTAAATCTCCCTAAAAATGAACTGAACTTTGACCCTTGCCAATGTTTTTTTTTAAATCTCGCTCATCTGGCATTTTTTTTTTATTTTGGTCCTAGTATTAATTAAAAACCTACTATAAAAGAATAAATCCTAAAGAACAGGTTTTCAAGAAATCGGAGTATATTTTTTGTACCCACTGTACTGTAGCAATTAAGGACATGGGGATCCAGTTATTGACTTTTTAGTTAGTAGTTTTAAAAACTCCCGAGTTAGGAAAAACATATTTTGTCGCCTTTGATGTAAAGTAAGTTTTAGTACTTAGGATTTTAAACAAATTAAAAGCCAAATTGTAAGTTTTTGAAATTTATAACTAACAGATACTAACCAAATTAGATTGAACTGCTAAACTCAATAATTAAACTGTTATCCTTGACGTTGGACACGTGTTCTCTTTAAGCAGTGTGAAACATTCGCTTAGAACAAATGGGAGTGTCACCTACCCGGTTTGGTCTTAGTTCCGACGGAAGTGAGCTCATGATCGCTGAGAACGCATGCGCGATTAAACGTAATTCCGCTACGATGACAACAACAAGATTGGTTTAAGTGACACGGCAAGCAAGTAACACTGGAATTACTTTATTTAATTTCTTTCATTACTTATTTATTTTTTTAGAAAAGTGAATTATTGAAAAAATATATATGTATCAACAAGATTTTTCTTGGTCGCTGGATAAATAAAGCAAAAACCATTGGACGAATATGTATTTTACAATTGCATACGGAAATGCGTTACTGCACAATTAATTGAAAATCCCCATCGAAGAGAACGAGTTCCTTAAAAATAAAATACATGTCGCTGATGAAGAAAAGAATGTTTTCCAAATTCACCAATATTTTACAACAGGCAGTGGATGCGGTAAGGTTTTTTTAAGAATTTAAATTTTGTTAATTATTGTACATTTTTCAGTTTTTATTTTATGACGATGTTTTAAAAACGTTTTTTTTTTAAAAAAAACTTTCTTAGTGTTTTTTTTAAAGGTTGTGTCGAAAATTCGTAGAAAGATGAATAAGTAAGAAATTATTCCTTTTATCGATTTGTATTCCACAGAGAATATATATATATATATATATATATATATATAACTATTTAATTTACAACTGGTACTAGTCAAGTACTGTGGTCCGTGCTTGTGTCTGACATTATGGAAACATGTGGACTACGTCCACCTTTAAACGCTTGGCTGATTCTGCATTACATGCTGCACATACAAACTCAATAAATTGCATATGCAATGCATAAAATAAGCTGAAGAGTATTTTTGAAGGCGTATTCAAC